TTCTGGAGGAGGCTAGAGAAGGCTGCGGGAGGCTGGGGGAGGCTGGAGGAGTCTGGGGAAGGCTTGGGGAGGCTGGGGAGCCTGAAAGAGGGCGACAAAGGCTGTAGGAGGCTACGGGAGGCTGGGGAGGCTAGGAGAGGCTGGGGGTAGCTGGAGGAGGCAGGGGGAGGCTGGAGATGCTGGGTGAGGCTGGGGTCGCTGGGGGAGGCTGGAGGATCCTGGAGGAGGCTGGGGGAGGCTGAAGGATTCTGGAGGAGGCTGGCGGAGGCTGGGGGAGGCTGGGGGAGGATATGGGAGGCTGGGGAGGTTGGAGGAGGCAGGGGGAGGCTGGAGGATTTTGGAGGAGGCTGGAGAAGGCTGGGGGAGGCTGGGGAAGACAGGCGGAGGCTGAATGAGGCTGGAGAGGCTGCGGGAGGCTGGGGAGGCTGGAGGACGCTGGCGGAGACTGGGGGAGGCTGGAAGAGGCTGTGGGAGGGTGGAGGAGGCTGGAAGAGGCTGGGGAGGCTGGGGGAGGCTGGCGGAGGCTGAGGAGGCTGAGGAGGCTGGGGAGGCTGGAGGAGCCTGGTGGAGGCTGGAGGAGGCTGAGGAAGGCTTGGGGAGGCTGGAAGAGGCTGGTGAAGACTGCAGAGGCTGGGGAAGGCCGAGGGAGGCTTGGGGAGGCTGGAGGAGGATGGAGGAGGGTGCGGGAGCCTGGGGAAGGCTGGGGGAGGCTGAAGGAGGCTGGGGGAGGCTGGAGGAGGCTGGAGGAGGCTCGAAGAGGCTGGGGAGGCTGGAGCATTCTGGAGGAGGCTGGGGGAGGCTTGGGAGCCTGAAAGAGGTCGAAGAAGGCTGTAGGAGGCTAGGGGAGGCTGGAGGAGGCTGACTGAGACTGGGTCCAGCTGGGGGAGGCTGGAGGAGACTGGGGGAGCCTGATGGAGGCTGAGTCAGGCTGGGGGAGGCTGGAGGAAGCTGGGGGAGGCTGGAGGAAGCTGGGGGAGGCTGGAGGAGGCTGGAGGAGGCTGGGGGAGGCTGGAGGAGGCTGGTTGAGGCTGGGGGAGGCT